TTAATTTCAGTGCAATAGCATATGATTTCACCTTTTTCTCAGGTTTGAGATTTTTTTTTCTGTTTCTAACATCTGGATTCCCAGTCTTGTCAATAATATTGTTTCTCCTTATAGTCTTTCCTATTCCACTCACTTCTATACTGTCAATGTTCTCCTCCAGACCCTTACCTCAGCCCCTCTGAACAAATAGTGAGCCTTTACTATGCCCCAGGCACTATGCCAGGGAGTGAGGATAAAATGGTGAAACTAAAGGTGCCTGCCCTCATCATTCTTGTTCTAGTGGAGAAGACATTGAGTAATTTTCTCCTGATGGATGTGTTGTGGTTAGAGCATGGGGAGGGGCCCCTGTGTGGTTTGAAGTGGCTAAGCTGAAACTTGAAGGACAAGAAGTTAGGCAGATGAGGGAGGAGGCAGCACAGACCTGTGGATCTCTTTGCACGTGGTGGTAGTAATAGTAATATAAACTACTTGGAGTTTGTGGAGTTTCCTGGATGTGCAAATTATTTGGGAAGTTTTTAGCCATTATGTTCTGCCTTTCTCTCTATCTGGTACTCCCACTACATATATGTTGGTGCACTAAATGGTGTCCCACATTTCTGTGAAGCTTTGTTCATTTTTCATCTTTTTTTCCTCTCTGTTCTTTTGCTTGCATAATCTATATTGATCTATTGCAAGTTCACTAATTCATTCTTCTGCCAGTTAAAATCTGCTGTTGAACCCCTTTAGTGAATTTTTCATTTATTTTCTTTTTCAGTGTCAGAATTACCATTTAGTTCTTTTTTTATACTTTCACTTTTATATTCTTGCATTCCTTCTTTTTTTAATTGTATTAAATTTATTGGGGTGACATTAGTTAATAAAATTATATAGGTTTCAAGTGTACAATTCAATAATACATTATCTGTATATTGCATTGTGCGTTCACAACCCAGAGTCGAATTTCCTTCTGTCATCATATATGTGACCCCCTTCACTCTTATTTACCTCCTCTCTCCCCACTTTCCCTCTGGTAACCAACATACTGTTGTCCGTGTCTATGAATTTTTTTGTCTTGTTCATTGTTGTTTTCAGTTTTATACTTCATATGAGTGAAATCGTATGATTTCTTGAATTTTTCCTTCTACCTTATTTCGCTTAGCATGATATTCTCAAGATCCATCCATATTGTCGCAAATGGCAGTATTTCATCTTTTCTTATGGATGAATAATATTCCAATGTATATACACATACCACATCTTCTTTATCCAACCGTATATTGAAGGGCACTTCGGTTGTTTCCATGTCTTGGCCACCATGAATAATGCTACAATGAACATAGGGGTACATATATCTTTGCGGATAAATGTTTTCAAATTTTTTGAGTAGATACCCAGAAGAGAGAGTGCTGGGTCCTATGGTAATTCTACTCTTAATTTTTTAAAGAACTTCCATATTGTTTTCCATAGTGGCTGTACCAATTTACATTTCCACAAGCAGTGTATGAGGGTTTCTTTTAACCCACAACCTCTCCAACACTTGTGTAGTTGATAGTAACCATTCTAAAAAGTGTGAGATAGTATCTCATTGTGGTTTTGATTTGTATTTCTCTAATAGCTAATAAAGTTGAACATCTTTTCATATGTCTGTTGGCCATTTGTATGTCTTGGGGGAAGTGTCTCTTCAGGTCCTCTGCCCATGTTTTAATTAGATTGTTTGGTTTTTTTTTTTTTGTTATTGTTGAGTTACATGAGTTCTTTATATATTTTGGATATTAACCCCTTGTTGGATGTGTTGTTTGCAAATGTCTTCTTCCATTTGATTGGTTACCTTTTTGTTGATGGTTTCTTTTGTTGTACAGAACCTTTTTAATTTGATATAGTCCCATTCATTTATTTTTGCTTTTACTTCCCTTGCTTTGGATTTCAAATTCATAAAATCCTAAGACCAAAGTCCACAAATTTAGTATCCATGTTTTCTTTTATGTATTTTTTTTGTTTGTTTCAGGTCTTATATTTAGGTATTTGATTCATTTTGAGTTAATTTTGGCATATGGTGATATAGTAGTCTAGTTTCATTCTTTCACAAGTGACTTTCTAATTATCCCAGCACCATTTATTGAAGAGGCTTTCTTTTTTCCATTGTGTGTTTTTTACTCCTTTGTCGAAAATTATTTGCCTATGTATATGTGGGCTTATTTTTGGATTCTCAGTTCTGTTCTATTGTTCTGTGTGTCTGTTTTTCTGATAGTACCATACTGTTTTGGTTATTATCACTGTATTTTAATTTGAAGTCAGAGAGTGTGATACCTCTGGCCTTGTTCTTTTTTTCTAAGTATTGCTTTGGCTTTTGAGGGCCTTTTGTGGTTCCATACAAATCTGATGATTTTTTGTTCTATTTCTTTAAAAAATGCCATTAGGATTTTGATGGAGATTGCATTTAATCTGTATATTGCTTTGGGTATTAAGGTCATTTTAACTATATTGATTCTTCCAATCCATGAACACAAAATATCTTTCCATTTCTTTGTGTCATCTTCAATTTCTTTTAATAATGTCTTGTAGTTTTCATTGTATAGGTCCTTCACATCCTTTAAGTTTATTTCCTAGGTATTTTATTCTTTTTGTTGCAATTGCAAAAGGATTTTTTTTAATTTCTTTTTCTGAAATTTCACTGTTAGTATATAGAAACACAATGGATTTTTGTACCCTTTACTTCTTTAATCATGGTTTTCTCTGAACATATTTACATGACTAATTTGAAGTCTTTGCCTATTCTGACATCTGGTTGCTCTCACAAGCAGTTTCTGTCCCTTTTTTGCTAGTTTATATTTCTTTGCATGTCCTTTTTCTTTTTTTTTTCCCAGAAACTGGACATTTTAGATAATATATTGTAGCAACTCTGGGTACTGGCACCCCAAACCCTGGGGTCTTTATTGCTATTTACTTGTTTACTTTAGTGACTGGATGGATTATTTTATCGAAGTCTATTTATTCCCTCCTTTTTCCCTGCAGTGTGAAGTCTTGATTTTGCTTTTTAGGGATGCAGCGTTTGGTATGCCCACAGTCACCCTGGAATGATAGTGGTTTTGGCAGGGCTCTTTTGTCTCTTT